CAGGAATGAGATTATGGCATATTTAGCCAGTGATGTGCCTCAGCAGGCGTCACGGGGAGCATGGAAACATGCTATTACACTGTGCCCCAGGCTCACTCTCCACTGCAAATCCTAAGAAGTTGGCCTGAAGTTTGAACTGATCCTTCATGGGTAGAGGATGGTGTCCTTAAGGACAGCTACAGCACACAGCTGCACTCTGTAGGAAGCTGCAGTTAAGACAGCACAATATTTACAGATCCTAGATCAAGGACTTTGAGCATTACAGCTTCATCTGTGGAGCCCTTGACATTACCACATTGGCTTTATGTCAAGACTGAAATGCAAAATACAGCCCTTTGCTTCTCCTACATTTTAACCAACACATCACAACAAGGTGGAGGCAAAAACCTGTGTCAGTGCTGTTCAAAATGCCACCAACAAAATAAATAAATGCACAGGATTGTCTTCTCAAAGCACAGACAGTCAAACTGGCATTAAAAGCAAAGGACTCACAGCAAACTCATTGTCTGGATCCTTTTCTCCTTTCCTGACTGGTCGGGAGTGTGTGAACTGCTGCACCTCATTTGCTCTGTAGTAGCTAGAAACAAGCAGAGTCAAGGGTGAGTTTTCTCATCTCCCCTCCTCCTTCAGAAATGTTCTGTTTCCTCTCAAAAACAACCAAGCTTAAGCTGGCCTGTGAAATAAATTTACTCCAGACAGGTACTCACTGCACCCTGTGCCAGGCTAATTGAGAGACACACAGAGGAAATGTTGAGAGAAAAGGAAAAGAAATTACTTCAAGATCTGTTCAGGAACAGGTTTATCTTTATAATTAGGTGGCAGGTTCATCACAGGCTTCACAATAAAGCACTGCACATCTGAGCAGCTAGAGTTAAGGATGAAAAACTATAAATCCTTTTGGGAAAACAGGAGAGGGAGAGAAATACTCTCCCTATTTTCATCAAGTGTCAGACTTCTCAACAAGCCCCTGTGCTCTTGTCATGTTTGAAGAAAACACTTAGTAGTTCATCAACAAGCACAGGTATTACATTGCTTCTTGCAGTGTGTAGGCTACTCATGAACTAAAAGCCCCCAAAGGTGAATAGTTCCAACTGTTGACATTCCCTAGTGAAGTGCCTGGGAAATCCTGGGTGCTACTCAGTTCTATTTTGGTGACAGAAAGACAAGATTCTGCCCTAGGTTCTGTAACTGATGCATCTGGCTCTTCTCTCTCCCCAACCACCCCAGTTATTTATCAGATTCTTCCAGTACAGTGAACCTACTCCTCCCTCCTGGTTTTTAGATCAATGAAGCTGACTGAGGAAAGCAGGCTGGTTTGAATCAGTGAATATCTGCTTCATCTCCAGCTTTTGCACCTGTGAACCACCATGGAAACCTTACCAGATTAAGGGTATCCCCAAGCACAGCAGCTAAATGTTGTTCCTCCAGAGTTCTGTTAATCACTTGCCAATTGCAGTCTGAAGAGGCAACGTTTTACTGGTGGGTAGGGTGGCCCCACACACCCTTCATTTCACCAAGTGTTTCTAAACAGTATTTTGAAAGCAAAGGCAAGGTCATTCTGCCTGTGCTGAAGAGCCAGCTGGATCCTAGCCAAGCCTGAACCCCAAACCACACAGCCATGCCAGCCCAAGCACTGAGCCCAAGCTAATATATTCTGCCTCTCAGGAGAGCTTAGGCACTGGGGCTCCGTGCCATGCTCAGCATGCTGGACAGCTTCCCCTGCAGAACTGCTGGAAGACCAGCCTGTTTCACTGGGCATTCCCTCAGACTGTGCACAGCTCACTTAGGATCTCCAGTCCACTGTTATGAAACTCTCAAAGGAAGAAGAAGGCATTTTATCATACAGGAGTGAGGAAAGAGACTCTAAGTGAAAGTAAAAAAGAGCCCGATACAAAGGAGGTTAAGAAAGCATGAAATTAAAAGAAACTACAGAACCATCAACCCCTGCCTAACACAACAGTGATTTGGGCACTCAAACTCCTCATCTTTTCAGAAGGTGTTTGTAGGAGTCAGAGAATAACCTGTACCAGATCCAAGCTATGCAGCTGCTCCCCTTTGTCATGGGGCTATGCCAGAGACCCGGAACCAAACACCCCCAAACTTCTGGAAGAGTTCAGATCTGGATCCAAATTTTGCAGTTCAGGTTCATCTTGAGCCAAAAACTTTTAGAACAAACACAAACAGATGCAAAGGAAGTAGGTGAAACAAAGCAGCAATAGAATAGGCATTTTTTGATACCAAGTTTGGTCTTGAATGCATTTTAATTTCCTATGTGGATTTAGTGCTTGGCAGGCTTATTGCAAGAGAAGCATCTGGTATCAGTGCTCAAGTTGTGCAGACTTTTAAGGCCAAAATGGACCATCAGATTCTCTAGTCTGGCCTGTGTAACACTGGCCTCTATAACATAGGCCAGAAGCCCAGTAACTTGGTTTTGACTGACGTGCATCTTCCAGGAGCACATCTGCTGCTGACTGCAAGTCACAAACAAGAATCTGAAGCATCTGCACCAGGTTGCACTTGGTCATCCTCACAGTTGAGAGAAAGAGAATCTTTGTGACACACAGTCTGGAGTTCCATCAGCATAAATTAAAACTAAAAAAAAGAAGGGCTGAAAACCCAACAACTTTCATAATGGTAATCACTTCACACTTCTTACTCCAAGTGACTTCTAGAAAAAAAAACAACAGCCCCTTTATAAATGCTAGTTAACTGCAACACAAAAGAGAGATTATTTCCACTTTCTTACTCATTTTCACTGCCTGTAATTTACCTATTTCACCAAGAAATACTAAACTGGATCACAGGTATGCTACAGCAGCCACCACCTCCTGCTTGAGAAGGAACAAGGAATCCTGACCTGCAGTCTGTTAAGGGTTCATCCTAACAGCAACTCATTTAACTCTGAAATCATCAAGCTCTCTTTCAATATGTTTAAATTCACTATTGCAACTCTGAACAATCTCTTTTTCATGCCCAGTACCTGCCTGCAAGGCCCCCCTGGAGCACTAAGTCCCTTGGCTTACTCTTGTTTTTTACAAATTCTGTTATTTTAGGAAAGAGGCAGATCTTGAATAGGCCAAAACGTATTAGAACCAAAAAGATACACTGTTTAGGAGAAGACTTGATCTCTTCTCCTGGAGGAGAAGTGCTGGTCATCTTCTCAGCACTAGGAAACTGGGTCAATAGCTTCAGGTTGAAGTCCTCCCTTCGTTCATACTCTTTGCCACGGTAGATAAAAATTTTATTCTGTGGGTAGCAGAAAGAAAAGAGAATTAACACTCAACAAATCAATAAGAAAGAGCCCTCCAAACACACCCAGTGCAGCCTCAGAGATCTAGTGTCTGTGAAGGGTTGAATCCCAGCTTAACAGACAGCAGGAACACGAGAGGAGAAACACAGGCTGGAGTGTCAGCACAGCAACTCTGCAGTGGCATCTGTGCATTTGTCTAGAAATGTCCTCATTCCACACACAAGTGCTACTGAATCTGTTCATCCTTTGAACAACTCATACATTCAACAATGAAAACTCAATCAAGGGACTGATGTTAAGTAAAAGAGCACATGTCCCAAGAAGCTCTTTAATGCAGGGAACTGCACACTCCCTGCCAGCCCACTTCTGGCAGGAGTTAACTGAGGGATCTCTGCACAAAACCACAAGTTCCACCTCCCTTCCATTAACAGGAGCCTCTACCAGAGCAGCTAGCTGGGGCACTCTGCACTGCACACTGAGCAGCAGACCATGGCCAATTATATTTCCAAATTGGCCACCAAGCAGTGGTGGTTTCTGGAAGGCATGGGCTTCAAAAACAGGAGCTGGAGGTGAAAGCCTTCCATGCCAGCAAGTTCCACAGTCCTAAGTTAACATTCTTCTTTTTTATTAAGCTTGGCTTCCATTTAAGTCCAACAACTTCAAACAGCTACAGTCTGAAAATGTAAATGTTCCTTAATTTTAAGTAATAGTTGGGAATATTTTCTAGCACCCTGCCCATCTGACTCACTTTGGCTCCATTCTTGTTTTATAGCTAGCACAGATCCAGAAAGGCTCAGCAGGAATCTCAGGCAGGAAAAATCCTGCATTTTAATTCTTCTGCGTGGGACAAACTCTCCCTAATGTGTTTCAGCACTGAAATGATCCATGTCCTGAACATTAGGTTGATTCAGGCTGAAAAGCAATGGGATAAGTTCTTTGCAAGTTCAGTATTTTCTAGTGGTAACAATCATGTTTCTGAGGAAGTGCAGAGGGAACAAACACAAAAGGTAGGTTCTGTTTCAGTCCATGTAAGAACATCCCAATTGCCAAACAAACCTTTATCAAAGCTGGTAACACAACAACACCTGGTCTCTCACTTGTCTCTCTTTACATGCTGAAATGCTTTGGAATACTTCAGGGACTTAGATCTCCTCCAAAAGGAGTTTGATATCTGAATCTTCTTGGAAACTCAGCAGGAGTTGTGACTTTTAGGGTACCCAGCACTCCAGAACTTGAGCGCTGGGGAATCCTTACCCGGAGGAAAGAGGGGAAGCCCTGGCCATAGTACCCAACAGCAAAGTACTCTGGTTGAGGTCTCATTGCCTTCATGATATTCTCATAAAAAGTAGCTCGTTTTTTCTGAAAAAGAAAAAGCCAGCAGCATTTTCACTTTGGAGGATTCAAGGACACTGCCAGACTGTAGCTCACATTCCCAGTGACAATTCCTGACCTATCAGTTCTCCTCTAAGGATTCTTTTTACAATTGTTTTTTGATACAGAATCTCTCATACTTATCCATTTACTTGGTTCAATATTTGTTTTTTCCAGGCCAGAATCAACTTCATTTCCTGCTCTGCAACATGAGAACAATGCCATGCTTTTTAGGATTCCAGGAGGATACTTGAAATCCTCAACTATCTCAACACAAATTAAAAATAAATATGTTCTGAAACTAAGCAGACACAAATGGTGACAAATGTCAGAGAACTGGCAGAAATAAAACTGGGCAGATGATTCTCATATGAAAACATAAAGACCATCTGGTTGCATCTTGAACCACTAAAAAACATAATTCAGAACCAAGATGACTCTGTCGTGCTGTGTTCACATGCAGCAGTTTTATCCCAGAATGAACAAGGTGATGAGATTTACAGAGCCTGAAAAAACACCATCAAATGTTCCCTTATTTGATCAACACTAACGATGCAAAACATCTGCACACAATATTGTCATGCTAATTACAAGGTCAAACCCACCGACTTAAATAAAATTACAATAACATTCTTCTAATATTAAAAACCATGGAGGTTATGTTGGTTTCTTTGTCTTTAACATAAGTATATTTGGGGCTTATCCTGCTCAACAATATTAGTTTAAGCAGCAAGCAGCCTGCTGAAAATGGAGAAAAAAAACAACTCACCAGGAGATTACCAAGTCCCTCATAATCAAAGACCTTGTTTTCATACATGTCAGCCAACTCTTTGCTCAGCTGAATGGCTTTTTCCCACATCTCCATGGAGGGTGAAGGGAGGCAGGTGGGGGAAGAAGAGCACAAGCAAAAAGAAAGACTCAGATAAAAGCATTCATTACCACAGATAGGTAAACAAAAAATTCAGCTGATTTTAATTCAGGCAGCACTTTAATGCACTGCCAACTTCCCCTTAGCCTCCATACTCCTCCACTTTTTTTTTTTTTTCAGTAATTATTATAGTCACACAGCTCTTTTGATTTGTAGATCTGAACATTATTTACAAAGCCAAGTTTCTCTTGTTACTCCTGATAGGGAAAACTGAGGCACCAAGAGGCAGAAGGACACGTCTGAACAGTAAATCAGAGAAGCCCAGGTGGTCTCTTCTCACACTAAACCTTCATCCCCTGCATCAGCCTTCCTTGGGTTTGTCCCATTTAGCCCTGGTAGAACCATCTACCCAAAGTGCACTTAACACAAGTTCAGCATCAGCCAGACAAGCCATAATGACCAAATACAAAAACCTGACAGAAGCCACTACCACAGAAAGGAAAACACCTCTAGTTTTCTCATCTACTGAGTATCTTGAACAGGGTTAATCTTGCAGATACTTTTTAACTAAGAGGGAAAGGAGAGGATTCCAGTACATGCCCTGCTCATGCCAGCATTCTGGTGGGCCCTGTGAAAGAGTCAGAGCATCAAAGGCCTGTTATGGAGCCACATCTGCTC